AGACGAAGTGGGTATAACAATAGTTCTGTAAAAGAACAACCAACATACCCTGAAGTTAGCAGAGACTTAAGTTCTGTTGCAGATATTCGAAACCGACTACCAACAACTTAAAGACAAACTTAAAACTCAGGAGAAGATTTGTCAAGCTTTGGGTATAATGTTAAACTTGGTCGAACACAACCCTGTAAAAGTGAACTCATATGTCATCGCACCTCATGAAGTTTTGAAAGAACTATTGAAACTTTTGACAGAGGCAGACGAATAAACATCAAAGAAATAGAACCCGACATTGCTTGCTGTGGTGTTTCATACAATGTCATTGACAAGATATACGTTATGAAAGGAGGTGAAACGTTGAACTTAAAATATAGTTTCCCAGACGTCATAAAAATATTTGACGACCACAACATTTCATTAAAATTTAGTTGCTAAGTAAAAATGTCAAAAACTTCTTGAAAGATGTTGAAGAAAAATAATATAGACTTTATTTCATGTAAAGGACTTTACACACTTTTGAACGATATGAAAGACCCTGTTTTGTTTGTTCGTGTAGACAAAGGAAAGTTCTATGTCTTTACAAAATATTTGAACTTCTTAGACAGAGAACTTCAAGAAACGCCATGTGAAAGTTTAGATGAAGTTCTTCTCCACTTTCAGAAAAACTTTTAAATATATGTAAATGGCAGAAGACATAGTGGTTTATACTATTACGACTAAAAACCCTGAGTCATATAATTCTATAACAACAAACTTACAAAGTCCTCAAGGACGATATTGTAAACTGACCTTAAACACGATGACGACTAAAGCCTGTTTTGCTCTTTTGACACCAGAAGACTTTGTTGTTGTGAATGGTAAAAAATACTTCTTTGAAGATACTTACTCAGATATACCACCAACAGGTTTTGTTGACTTATTTAATACTTTAAGGACGGATGTAACATGTGCTGCAACTAGAGCAGGTTTCATTATGTTTGGATGTCCGACTGAGTTTAGTATAAACGATATGAGCTATAATACAAAACTTATATCTGGTTTTTACTACCAACAGTTTCCTATAACAGGAAAAGGTGTCATACAAGGTTTGTCTGTTCCATTGACTTTAAGTACACCTATTTTATATATTGTTTCAAACTTAGGTTCAAAGTGCTATTCGAATATCGACAGAAACTACTATGACCAAAAGATACTCATGCGTATAAACAACACTTTCTCTGCTGGTTTGCCTATTGTTCATTCGAATGCAGAGTTTTCAGCTTTAGTGAACTCAAACACTTTAGCAAACATAAACTTAACCTTAGTCGACGCAAACTTTGTTCCTGTAAAACTTTTATGTCCTATGTATTTGTCAATGACGGCAGAAAGTTTCGAATTGGAAGATGCAACTGGTGAAAGTATTGTACTACAAGAACAACTTCAACAACAAATAGCTCAAGAACAACAAATGCAACAAATGGAACAAATGCAACAACAAAGTCAAGAATAAAAAAAATATTTTTTTTATTTTTATAAAAATGTACAGAATAGACGTTTCAGATTTTTATGACTTCCAAGCCTTCAGAAATATGTGTCCATTTAGAGACTATAACAAAGCAGTCGAGAATTTGAAACGTTTAGTCATTTATGTTGACTCTGCCCCAGAATGTTATGTCATGAAAGAATGGGATGTTGTCTTTAACAAACCAAGAGCAACAATAGTTTCAGAACAAGAATGTAGACAGAAACTTAAGAAAATAAAAGTCGTACAAGTTGGTATGAAGATGTTAGATGCTTGGGATATCTTATTGTCAAAACTTGAAGATTTTTCAGTTCGAGGTATAAAGTTCTATACACCTTCTCCAAACTTCTATTCTATCTTCACTGGATATAAATACGAACAAGTAGAATGGAAAGAAAATGTTATAGAAGCTTGGTTAGACCATGTCAAAGAAATTATATGCAATGGAAACGAAAGAGTCTATGAGTATATCTTATGTTGGTTTGCAAACATCTTACAACATCCAAGTGCTAAAAATGAAACTGCTCTCATTATAATTGGAAAACAAGGAACTGGTAAGAACACTTTCTTTACAGATATCTTATGCAAACTGTTAGAGGGCTATTCGAACCCTAATATGACAAACTTAGAAAACATCTGCGGTAAATTTAACTCTTCAATAGAGAATATGAAACTTATAGTATGTAACGAACTTCAAAGTATAGATACAACAAAAGTTTTGAACTCAGATGCTTTGAAGAGTCTTATAACAGACAAAGTTGGAGTTGTTGAAAGAAAGTATAAAGACCAAAGAGTTTGTGAAAATGTTGCAAACTTCATTATGGTTTCAAACAATGCTGTTCCGATGAAGTTAGAAAGTTCTGACAGAAGATATGTAGTTGTCAGAACGTCAGAAGCTCATATGCAAGATACAGAATATTTTGACGACTTAGCAGAAACTTTGACATCTGACTTTTACAACCACTTGTTCTCATATTTTATGACATTAGATATTTCTAAGTTCAATCCAAGACAAATTCCATATACCGAAGAAAGACAAACATTGTTAGAAGCAAACAAGAGTGTATATGAACTGTTTATAGATGAAACTGACTTTGAGTGTTTAGATGAAAGGTCATTGTACGATGAATATAAACAATATTGTCAAGAATATGGTTATATGACAGCGTCTAAACGAACATTCTTGGCAAATGTCAAAAGTCTTTTAGACATACAGAACGGCGTATATACAAAGAAAAATTTTTCTGAGTAAATTTTAAAAAAAATATTTTTTTTATCCGATAGAAAAGATGACGAAATTCATCTCAGTAAATAAGTACATGTCAGGACTTAAAGAAGAACTAGACCCATTCGCTTATTTGAATGTTTACTTCTACCATTTTGAAAAGTCTACATTTGACAAAGTTTGGAACATCGAACCAGTTAAGTTTGCTATTGTGACTAAAAATGGTGCGAAATTTGAAGACTTAGACATAGAAGGTTTGTTAACAGTCAAAGAAAGTTTTGACAGAAGGTTCTCAAACCTTAAAGAAGGCAAAGCATACAAACTTGTTATACCTTATGAACCAAAGAAGACAGACGACTATGAATATTATGAGTCTAGGATAGTTGAAGTTCAAGGTAAATTGGGTAAAAAGATTTTAGAGTCTAAGCCAGTGTTTGCTCCTAAAGAGGAAGAGAACATTGACATTGACCCAGAAATGTTCTAAAAATAAAATTTTATTTTTACATGTCAAATTTCTTTTTCTCTGGTTCAGGTTCTTTCTTCTCTTCTTCTACTTTCTTTTCTTTCTTCTCTCTCTTCTTCTTCTTCTCTGGTGGAGTTATGTCAAACTTCTCAGAACCATATTTTTGTAAAAGGTCTTTGTCCTTTAATAGCTCTTCTATTCTGTTTTCTATTTCATCTTCAAGAACAGCGCATGTGTCTTCTTTGCATTCTAAGAACTTTTGTTGGACTTCATCTTTCCAATCGGCGTCATCTCTGTCAACAAGTCTGTCATTGACAAATTTTAAGACTGCTCTGCTTAATGTTTTATGGTTCTTGTCATATTCCCAGAAACAGAACTTTAGAACAAATTCACCTTTCTTGTTTACACTATGTAAGATTTTATGGTCGACAGATGTTTTAGAGTCAAAAAGTTTGTCTCGAATATAGATAGCGAAATCGCTAGACATTTTCTAAAAGATAAAAATTTTAATTTTTCTAAAAATATGTTAGAAAAAAAGTTTGCTGACATTGACAAGAAATTTGAGAATGTTTTAAACAAGAACAAGAGGAAGTTGGAAAATGCTCAGATAAAACCCATACATGACAAGTTCTTATTTGCTCAGAATGGTATAACAGGTCTAATTGCACCACCTGGGTCGGGTAAGACTTTCACTTATCTTAAAATGGCTGCACAACAACAAGAACTAGATGAGAAGAACCCATTCTATGAGTTAGTTGTTATTTGTAGTACTTCTGGTCAATTTGACCAAACCGTCAATTCGTTCAAAGATATTATAAAGAAGTCTAAGTTAGTATGTATAAAGGATACTGAGTTGTTAGATTGGATAAAGAAGTACCAAAGAAGAGTTTTGAAGTATAATGCTATAAATGAGTATATAAATTCGAAGTTTAAAGACCCAAATGAGGAAATGCAGAGAATATTAGAGAAGAAACACTTCAGAAACAAACAGAAAGAGATAGAATACATTTCGAAGAAATTGCAATCTTACGATTGGAAGACTTACCCTCACAGATGTCTTCTTATCTTAGATGACTTTGCTTCTCATCCTTTGTTAAAGAATAGAGAACAAGACATGTGTCGAATTCTTAAGAAGCTCAGACACTTTAACATCTCAGTTGTCATTTGTGTACAGACAGCCAAGAGTTTAAGTAAGGATGTTAAAAGAATACTTACTGATATCATACTTTTCCCTGGATTGTCCGAAGACGATTTCATGGAACTTATGAAAGAGTCCATGGCAGGTAAGTTTGACAGACATGAACTATGGGAGAAGTACAAAGTCATACAAGACCCTCATACTTCTTTCAGAATTCACATCTACGCGAACAAAGTTCAAATTGTAAAAAGTCAAGCTTGAAAAATGTAAGTGTTTAGTCTTAGTCTGTTGTGGTGCTGGGGCTGTCGGTTCTTCTGGCTTTGGAAGGCATTCAGGAAGAGGAACGTGAGACATTCGTTTGTGTCCTGTTGGAAGGAAGAACTTTTCCAGTTGTCGGGAAAAATTTTTCCAGTTGTCGGGAAATTTTTTTCCAGTTGTCGGGAAAAATTTTTCCAGTTGTCGGGAAAAAAGTTCTCAATTTTCGAAAATTTGAATGGTTTACGGACGAACAACAGGAAAAATTTTTCCAGTTGTCGGGAAATTTTTTTCCAGTTGTCGGGAAATTTTTTTCTTGTCGGATGGAAGGACTCGGAATGCCAGAAGGATTTGACAAGACAATTTACCTTATAGAGCTACCTGAGCCATCTGAAGTCAAGCGTAAAAATAAATGGTTCATCTACTCTACTTGTTTGAAGTTGTCAAAATACTCTGTTATTTTTTCCTTTAACAATGGCAAATCTTCTTTGAAGGTAAGTATTGTACAACCTTTCATATCATAGTGTGTTTGAGGTAACGTATCTTGAACTATTTGTTTCACATCTTCATTTGGGGTCATTGAAATCGGTAAGTTTTCGCGATAGAACCAATTTCTGTCAGATTTGTAAATCTTAGCAAGGTCGTAAAAGCTTTTGTTGTTTCTTCTGACTAAATGCAACATAACCATATCTCTGTCTTCTTCATTTTCCATCTCTTCAGTATAAATCATATACTTATAGTTCTTTTCCTTTCCTTTTGGTACCGAACGTGGTATTCTTTTCTGAATGCTTTTGTCTTTTGCTTCAAGCTTGTTCTCTAGCTCTTCACGTTCTTGTCTATGAATTTCGTCAAGAAGTCTGTAAATATACCAAGCATAACGAGGCGAAGCCCACATTGCAACAGCATTTACAAGAAGTCTATGTACATAATAATCCTCTCAAACCATTTGGCAATTTTTCACGATTTTCATAGAGTTTTGGCGACTGGGGTTTTTTACTTACTCGCTGTTCTTCACTGTTTTCATAGAGTTTTGGCGAGTAAGATTTTTCTCGTAGTCGCTGTTCTTCACTGTTTTCAGAAAAAAGTATGTCTCGCTGTGCTTCGCTCAAAAGTTCTTGTGTGCTTTGGTTCCTAAACCAGTCTTGTGGTTTCTTAGTATCTGGAGCAAAACATGCTGTCAAAATACTTTGCATTTGGTACATGTCATCTTTGACCGAACGAATGAGACGGAGTTGTTTGTTAAACTGAACCCACTCATATTCTTCATTTATAGCTTCATGAACGATAGCAGTTGTTGTGTTCTCGGTTGTTGACATATCTGTCTTTACATACAAAATAAAAAAATAAAAAAAAATAAAATTAGCGTTATTTTCTGACTTTCACAAAAGACCAAAAATAAACGCTTTACATGTATTTTTCAGCAACTTCGTCAAATAATTTTATAGCACTATCTATCTCATCTACTTCAAACGTTTCTTTACCTTTCGTGGGAGCACCATACATTTTCTCAAACTTTTCAAGCAGTTCTGTTTCAGCAGCTCTCATATCGTTAACAAACGCAACCTTAACTCTATTGACTATACTGTCATATCTTTGAGTTATATTAAATGTTCTTCCTATCTTATATCTCTTTGTATTGAAGTCCTTCGGTTTCTGAACAATGTAAAGTAAGCCTTCACTGCAACGTTCCGTATCGAATGAACCATATGTTATGAAATTATATCCAACAACTGGGTCAATCCAGAACAAAACTAGTGGTATAAGACTTTTGTCTATAAGATATGTTCTTGTTCCATAGAATCTTACCGATATCATAAGCTCAGGATTTTTTGTCAAAATTTTCTGAGTAGAAGCATTTCTAACCCAGTCGTGGGATGTTTTCTTTTCAGATAGTGTTAGAATGTCTGACAAGGAATATTTTTTGTATTTCTTTGAGTATCTTACGTTTAAATCACCAATTCTAACCATTTTGGTGTCATTGTCTATCTTTCTAACTGTTTCAAACTCAATGTTTGACATTTCCTGTTCTTACATACAAAATAAAAAAAAATATTTTAAAAAAACTAACTTTAATTTTATTTTGTATAAAAGATACAGTTATATCATGAAATTTGGTCATTTTTTTACGATTTTCATGTGTTTTAGGCGTTCCTCGGTTTTCCGCGGGTCGCAATTTTTTACGATTTTCGAATGGAATCTCTATCCTCGGTTTTCCGAGGGTAGCAAACATATGAGGAAATTCATGAAATTTGTTGCTGAATTCAATAAAAATATATTTTAGGGTAGAAGGGTATATCTACCCCGTTTTCTACCCTCATTTCTACCCCAGTTATTTTATAAACGTTTCACATGGTAAACGTTATTTTTTAAATTTTGTGAAAACTCAACGGTTTGACACAAGCCCTAAAATATATTTTACTCAGAATTTTACTCAGAATTCGGCAAAAATATAATTTATGTTAGAATGTTAGATCTAACATGTTTTCTAACATGTTTTCTAACATGGTCTAAAACATACAAAACTCATGAAATTTCATACGGAATTCAATAAAAATATAATTTATGTTAGAATGTTAGATCTAACATGTTTTCTAACATGTTTTCTAACATAACTATTTACAAGCGTTTTACATGGTATATGTTGCGATGGTTCATGACTCTAAACAATTTCGTAGCTTCTATTTCTTCTGTCAGTACATCGAATGTTTTAACGATACCGAAAGTTTCTTTATACTTCTTCTTGACGTCAGATAATAGGAAATCGTTAGCGGTTGGATAGTTTTTGTTCAGAAATTCTAACATGTTCATTTTATCTTCTGCTGGTTTTTCTGCTTCTTTCTTTAAATCTGCATAGTCGTTTCGCATACGTTCTATCTCTTTGACGGAGTAGTTATATTTCCTCATTGCTGCTTTACATTTTGAACATTGCGGGTTCATTTTTGCGTTATATTCTGAAACCTTACCTGCTAAAACAACCAAGGCGTCAATTGCTCTCTTTAACTCAAAAGTTGCGGGTTTTATTTGTTCGTTCCATACCTTACCCCTACTCTCTTTATCTCTTATTTCCCAAACACATTTTGCAACTAATGAAACAAAGTTGTCGTAGGTCTTAAATTCTTCGGATTTGTAAAGGTCAGAGATGTTCTTATATACCATGTCGCAGTCTTTGTCCATGACTTTGTGGTTGCAATGAAATCCAAGAAACTCATAGTTAACCTTTCGTATGAACTTCTTTATTTCTACTGAGTCAGTCAGTCCGACTTCTATTTCATCGAATTCTGGAATAGTAAGCTTTTGTTGCTGGATTTCAGGCAATTTGGGTAAATGGTCAATAATGTCCTGCATTTCATAAAGATACTGTTCATTTGTTTCATCTTTCGCACTACAGTCTAAATTACTTGTTAAAAGTTCTTGCTTTATCTTCTGGATTTTTGTTTCGAAAGTATATGAAGAAGGAATGAAGCTTTTCATCTCTACTAACATTGAAGTTGGGTTCATGACTAACGAGTTTGGTGCTGTTGTTGCTAACATGTTCTTACAATAAAAATAAAAAAATATTTTTTTAAAAAAACCAACTTTATTTTTTATTTCGGGAAATTTCATGAAAATTCAAGAGTTTTAGACCATGTTAGAAAACGTGTTAGAAAACATGTTAGATCTAACATTCTAACATAAACATTATTTTTGGTGTAAAATTCATGAAAATTCAAGAGTTTTAGACCATGTTAGAAAACGTGTTAGAAAACATGTTAGATCTAACATTCTACCCTAAAATATATTTTTGGGTCATTTACGCTCATTCCGATGAAGAAGTCTTGACAAAACATTTATGAAGAAGTCTTGACAAAACATTTACGAAGAAGTCATGAAAATTCAAGAGGGTAGAAAAGAGGGTAGAAGACAGGTTAGATCTAACCTTCTACCCTAAAATATATTTTTGTCGAAAAAAAATGGTTCATTTACTCACAATATTTTTGTACAAAACGACCCCAAACTTTTAACTTCTTTTCTGCAGCTTCTAATGTTATCTTAGCGAGTTCATATTCTCTAAATTCTCTCTTTAAATCTTCTTGTTCCCATTGGTCTAGTTCGTATGGAGAATCTCTATAACCAGAACATATCTCACGTTCATGTTCTATTTGTTTTTCATGCATTTTTCTAACTTCTTCTTCAAACAAAGGTTTTGCATTCTCTACTGTATCTTCAAGTTCTTCTTCATCTAACTTCTCATGAACTTTCTTGTCTATGGAGTCCATAATTTTTCCAACTGCTATACAATATTTTGGAGAAGCCCACATTGCTATATAGTTTACGAGTCTTGGGTCTACATACGTTCCTCTAACCTGTTTGATTTCATCCGGAATTCCTGCATGAACTTTGTATAAAAAGCAACCCGCCGTTTTCCGCGGGTTGGTATATTCTTCACAAAATGCCTTAAAATACTCTTCCCAGGACTTATTTTCCAACAACCTTCTAAAGTCTTTCCTAAACTGCTGACACATCTTTGTTGCATTTATATAACCATCCTTGTCTCTACGTAAGACTTCAATACCGTTGTAAGTGCCTTTTGTGAATGTTTCGCCATTAGATTTGTTCGTGAACGTTTTTGCTTCGACTGTCATTCAGTACGTACAATAAAAATAAAAAATATTTTTGGGTGGGACGTCGGACATTCGTTTGTGGCTTAACCGTCGGACATCCGTTTGTGTCCTGTCGGAAGGAAGAACTTTTCCTGTCGGACATCCGTTTGTGTCCTGTCGGAAGGAAGAACTTTTCCTGTCGGACATCCGTTTGTGTCCTGTCGGAAGGAAGAACTTTTTCTGTCGGAAGGAAGAACTTTTCCTGAAGTTCGACAGGAAAAGTTCTCAATTTTCGAAAATTTGAATGGTTTACGGACGGACAACTGGAAGAACTTTTTCTGTCGGAAGGAAGAACTTTTCCTGTCGGAAGGAAGAACTTTTCCTGTCTGATGGAAGGACTTTTCCTGTCTGATGGAAGAACTTTTCCTGTCTGATGGAAGGACTTTTACTGACAGTAGCAGTACTGCTAGTAGCAGAGATTTTTATCGTCCAACTTTACAAATGTAAACTCCTATCGTTCTATTTTCTTCACTAGGGTCTAACACCAAAGTAACCTTACAAATGTAAACTTATATCGTTCTATTTTCTTCACTAGGGTCTAACACCAAAGTAACCTATGTACATGAAATTTCACTGCATAAAAGGAAAAAACCTGCGCGAATCGGGATTTGAACCGAGGTCTTCGACGTCTGTAGCGAGGTAGCCCATACCACTGAGCTATGAGCCGCTTGCATATTTTTAAGTAAAATATAGTATATTTGTCATACAGTGAAGGATGACCAAACTTAAAAAAAATAAAACTAAAATATATTTTTTTCTATCTTAAGGAAATTCATGAAAATTCAAGAGGTTAGAAATGAGGTTAGAAAACGTGTTAGATCTAACATGCTAACATAAACATTATTTTTACTGAATTTAGCAACAAAATGAACGAGGTCAGGATGTATGTTGCTGAATTCATTCATAACACCCTTTGTAAGCTCATAAAATGCTTGTTTTGAGGTCGAGCCACTTTTGGCTCCACCGTATTCTTTCAACCTGAAACATTTAATATATGTAAAAATATACTGTTTTAAAAAATGTTTTAAAATGGTATGCCATATAGCTTCTTGAATTTGTTGAGAAATATATGAACGTGTTTTCCATCTGTATCTCTAGTGTTTACATAAGCATAGCCCGCCTTAGTAAAACATACTTGTAATTTTCTATAGTTTACGCCGGTATAAAGGTAGAAAGAGTCCTGTTCTTCGCTATAGTAGTAAAACTCAAACGTATGCTTGCCATAGTCTGTAATTTCAATTGCTTCATCTTCTAG